GAATGTTTGAAAACAAGTTTATTTTTAATCTTTCAAACAAGTTTGTTTTAATGTTTTGAAACAAGTTTATTTTAAAGTTTTGAACAAGTTTGTTTTGAAGTTTGTAAATAGGAGTGTTTGCATTCTCTAAAACATGTTTGTCTAATGTTTATCTAAACAAGTTTATTTTTACAAATGTTTAAATTCAACTTGTTTCTTTAAAAAACAAGTTTATTTAAAACAAGTTTATTTATTTTCAACTTTCCAACTTGTTTTATTAAAACTTGTTTTTCTACCTTAATAAGAGCATCAAAAATATTATCCCATCCTTGTTGTTCATCCCCATTAAATTTAACATTTTGAGGTAAAAATCCAAAAGCAGTTAACGATTCAGGGTAAAATCTTTTTTTATTTCCTTCTTTATTAATTAAATAATTATAAAATTCCAAATTTCCTTTAATGTCCCAAATTGTGATTGATTTGGCTAGCAATGTTTTTTGAAGGAAGGACATTGAAATTGGTTGATATGAACGAAAATCGTCTGTACTTATCGGCAAAAATTTTTTTAAATTAAATTTTGAGAGAAAATAGGTAATAAAATCTCTTGTCCAACGATGCTCTTCAATAAAAAATGAAGAAGAGTGAATCTAAATAAAAACAAAAATTAAAACTTGTTTTTAAACATGTTTTAATAATTTTTAAAACAAGTTTACAAACAAGTTTTTAGGAAAAAGAATGAAACATTTTTTAATTAAAGTTTAATTGTTAAAAACAAGTTTATTTTTAAAAAACAAGTTTATTTTTAAGAAAACAAGTTTTAATTAAGGTTGGAAAACATGTTTATAAAAACAATGTTTTGAAACAAGTTTTAATTAATGTTTGAGATAGAATGAATGTTTTGAATTTTAAGGGAGGAAAACAAGTTTATTTTGAAGTTTACAAACAAGTTTATTTATTAAACTTGTTTTTAGAGTTGTAGGCAAACAAAACAACTTTAATAAAAACAAGTTTAATTTTAATCAAAACAAGTTTTATTTTAATAAAAACATGTTTATATTTTATTAAAAGCAAGTTTAATTAAAACTCTACCTTAGAAAATTGTCTAAACCAAAAAATAGCCGTTGCCAAATGCAAGCGGTTTTGAAGCATATTAGGCAGATAAACAAAAAATTTATAATTGTTTCTTTCAGGCAAATAATTAACAAATTTGCAGCATTCACATTTACTATAACATTCACAACTGTCCTTATCATTTTCATTAATATTTATAAAAAAATAAATATCATCAGGATTAGTGTTTCCATCGTGTGAAGCAAGCATTTTGACTGGTTTAATTAAACGCCCGTCAGAATAAAATTTAAAATTCTGAAAAAAAATTTTTTTTAATTTAATTTCTGTACCCATTGAATAGTAGAAAGTGTGGCCAATAATGGGCCCAATTCTTGCGGTGGAATTTTTAATTCTTTATAATTTTTGAAGGAACAATATTTTGATGATTGGCTAAGGTAAGTGTCGGTATTCTTTAAAGGGAAAATTAATTAAACTTGAAACAAGTTTGTTTTAATTCAAGTTTATTTTAATATTCAGAAACAAGTTTGTTTTAATTCAAGTTTATTTTAATGTTCAGAAACAAGTTTGTTTTAATTCAAGTTTATTTTAATATTCAGAAACAAGTTTGTTTTAATCCAAGTTTATTTTAATGTTCGGAAACAAGTTTGTTTTAATTCAAGTTTATTTTAAAATTAAACTTGTTTGTTTGAAAAGTCTTAGTTACCAAACATTAAAAACAAGTTTATTCGTAAAAACAAGTTTATATTTAAGTGTTTGTTTTAATAATAAAACAAGTTTATTTAAAATTAATGCTTTGTCTGAACAATTTTGATTTTTAATGTTTGCAAAACAAGTTTATTTTTAAACAACAAAACAAGTTTATTTTAATAGCAAGTTTGTTGCAAAACTTGTTTTAAACAAACTTTTTTCAAAACAAGTTTATTTATTTTTATTTCAACTTAACAAAAAGACCTACAATCGCAAAACGTCCAAATTTATATTTTGGCCTGCAAAATATGGCAAAAAAAATTTTTTTTTTTTTTTTATTTTACCAAATTTCTTCATTTCCCTTCACAACATTATAAAAATGTTTATTAGTTAATTGAACAGAATTAAAAAGTTGTTTGCGCGTTAAAAACTTGAAAACTTCAATTAACGGGTCATTGAAACTGTTGTCGATTATTGGACCTTTTAAACGATAACGCAGCTTTTTTGACACTTGGGTGAGCTGGGAAAGTTGAAAATCAAGTTTTTCTCTTGGAAAGGTTTCAAGACTGTTACTGGTGGTTGCTGAAGGCTAAAAATCAAAAATTTTTCAAAATGTCAACTTTTAAAATGGTAAAATTTCAAAATGGTCAGAAGGCAAAAATTTTTCAAAATGTCAACAAAAATTGACAATTTGACACTTTTTTGTCTTCTGACCATTTTACAACTAAAAAAAAATTTTTTAATCACCTGCTTCAAGGCTTGAAGCAAATTGATACATTTCGAGTTGAATTCACAGGCGTGAGTCGTAAAAGCATCAAAATTAAATTCTTCGTCTTCCATAAATTTTTTAATAAATTTAATTTTATCTAAAATTTTTTTTTAATTTAAAAAAAATATTTTTGTTTGTTTTTAAAGATGATTTACCCGTTATTATTGATCGGTAATGTTTTTCAATATTAAAAAAGAATAGAAAATGGAAAGCATAAATACAGCCCCACACATTTTCCTTGCAAAAAGCGAATAAAATTAATAGCGATGTAAAAACGGTTAAACCCTAAAAATATTAAAAAATGGTCAATCCCTACAGAAATGTCAAAATGGTCAGGAAATCGAAATGTTTCAAAAGGGTCAACCACTAAAATCTTGACATTTGACATTTTTGGTTCCCTATCATTGGGTACAGCCCATAACGGCGCAAAGCCATAACCTGGTGGAAGATGTCTGGTCCTTATCAGTTTTGGTATCAATCTCCTTAGCTTGATGAGAGGAATCGTTTAATACTAAATTTGGTAAGATTAGAAAATTTTGAAGCAAGCTATGGCCTTGCGCCGTTATGGCCGCGCCGGCGTGTCCCCCTTTAATTATTATTTAAATTTTTCAAAAAAATTTTTTTTTAATTTTCTCCTTTAAAAATTCAAAAATAGAAACAAAGACAGAAAAAAGACAAAGTAACACGCTCAGAAAAAATTTTAAAAAATAAAGGAGTTACAAAAATAGAAAGGAAAAACAACAAAAAACAAAGCAATATTTGTTTATTTAACCTGCCTTTCTATTAAAGTTGGTATTTAAATACATTGGGTAAATCCCCCAAAAAATCATTTTCACTTCTCCCTCCAACAAAAAAAAATCCAGAAAAATGCAACACCCGCTTAATGTTTTTCTTCTTTTAATAATTTTAAATTTTGTATTTGTTTCAATTCGAACAGAATGTCTTAAAAATGGAAATGCTGATATTGGAAGTAAGGATAGATTTTTTTAGAGATTATTGCGATGAGTATAGTAAAAATCGCATTCTCAGGAAATTAATCCTGTAATCCCGTTCATCGCTTAAAATATGGGATTTCGTGACAGGATCTCGTAAAATCCCGTACGGGATCCTGTCCCGTGCCGCACACTAGATTGTGAGCAATGCCGAGCGAGCACTGTCAGCGTTATTCCAATCCTGCCCGATAGCTAAACCTTTGCTAAACTCTTCCTCAATATTGGGAGTAGAGGTCGGAAAAATCGTATTTGCGAGATCCAGCATGCGGGAGAAATTTCTAAAAACGTTTGCGAGAGTAAATCCCGCGGGAATAATCCCGCATTCCCGCAAATCGAAAAAAGAACGGAAGCGGTATCCCGCAAAATCCCGTCCCGCGCCGACCACTCATTGGAAAATCCCCACCCCCCCCCTCCCCCCCCCCCCATTGAAACCAAATATAAAAAAGGTTCAATTTAAATTTATCAAATATATGTATCTATCTACTAGATTGTGTAAATTCAAAATGCCCGGACAGATATGAATGTAATGCTGAATATAAATGCTGTAATTTTTCAATTATTATCCTTCCTAAAAAATTAAATTTAAAGGCTATACAGGTACATCAACATCCAAACAAAATCCAGATTTAAATTTAACACAAATTTCACAAAAAACGGATGATTTTCTTAATGGCTTTAGAAAAATATTACAAGGCATTTTTAGCCTAGAACAATAAAAAAAATTAAATTTTTTATTCTTTTTATTGTTAAAAGTATAATTTTTTGAAATTTTGTATTTAATAAAAAGGCAAATTTAAAGAAAATTTTTTTGAAAAAAAATTTAAAACAAAACTTCATTGGAAAAAAAAATTTTAACTGAAAGGAGAAAACTCTCCACGGGTGACGATAAAATTTTAATTTTTTTTTCAAAAAAAATTTTCACAATTAACTAGAAATGGAGTATTAAATAAATATAAAAAATTTTCTATAATTTGTCTAACCGTATCTTTTTCAAATCAAAAATAAAATCAACAGTTTTTAAAGTCTAAAAAAGTCAAAAATGATAAGAGAACTACTGCATTCAAATATTTTTAATTAAAAAAATTTTAAACTTAAAAATTTCTAAAAAATAAAATTTGAAGGCAGGAAAGTCTCATTCGTAGGAGTAATTTAAAAAAATTTCTTATGGAATGGATTTTAGTCAAAAAATTGTGTATTTATTTTGATAAAATCATTCAACTACTATAAAAAATAAAATTAAAAAAATTTTTTGAGAGTCGAAAATGAGACTCCAATATTTTTAAATTTATTTAACAGAGGTATATTTTTAGAAATAATACAATTGATCTTAAAATTTAAAATAATTGAATGATTTTATTTTTTAAACAAAAAACAATTTCTCTAAAAACAAAGTCAATATGTGTGGAGAGCTTATATAAAAAATAATTTTTAAAAATTTTCTCTATAAAATTATATAAATTAGTTTGCCTCTCTCTTTCCTTATAAAACTCACCAAAAAATTTCTAAGTAGAAGCCATCTCCGGAACTGTACGAAAAACAATTCCAAAAGAAGCTAGACGGTCATAAATTTTGGTATTCTTAAATGCTGCTGCTGAAGTAAAAACTCCACTAAAAAATAATAAAAATTTTTTTTTGTATAAAAATTTTTAAAAATATCAACAAAATTCATTTATTTTTTATCCCAAGCCTTCTAAAAATAAGCGAAAAATTTTATAGCAAAAATACAAAAAAAATTTTTTTTGGTGTAGTGGGAAAATTTTTGGTTCACTAGGGAAAAGGGTTGAAGGTTCGAACCCCCGCAAAGGTGAATTATTTTTTATTGCCATAAAATAAATTTTTTAATGATTTTAAGTTAAAATTCTTATCAAAAATAATTTTTAAAAAATTAAAAAAACAATTTTTACCCAGGTTTTGGCATATTGTCAGCATCAGAAAGAATAGTCAATGCACACGACAAAACACAGCCAGAAGTTGCAATGTAGCCAGCTAAAAATTAAAAAAAATATTTTAATTTAATAAAAAAAAATTTTCCTTACCATCAGGTCCATCACAACGAACAACAACTTTCTTGTTTGGTTGTTCTTCAACAGGCGGTGGAATTGTTGTTTCATTCCAACCTGTGCCAAAGAACCAATATTCAAATGTTGCCTAAATAAATGGAAAAATGTGAAACGGAGAAGGGAGAAATTTTTAAATAATTAGTCCTCCTCTCATTCTGTCCCTAGTATATTTTTAAAAAATAACCAAGAGATTGTGACAGATAAAAACGATGTTTGGTGCCCTCTAATCTCAACTAACCAACTATCTTATTTACTCGTGAAATCTTTTCTCCTACACATGAATAAAAATAAAACACTATAAAACTAAATAAAAAGCCTTAAGCTACATACTCCTTAAAGTATTTAATACGAGGGCTATAGAAATTGGTAATCTTCATCTAACATAAAGAACAGGGATGTCACGGGTTACCCGAAACCCGATACCCGGCCTTTTTTTCGACCCGATACCCGATCCAAGAAATTTTCTAAAACCCGACCCGAGAATTTTTATTTTTCAAAACCCGACCCGAAACCCGACCCGAGTTTTCTCAAAATTTTCGCCCTCGTCGGAGAAAAAGGGAAGATTTTTAGCTTAATGATCTTCCAAAATTCTGAAAATTTTCGCCTGCGGCGCTGAAAAAGGAAGAAATCTGGCTTCGGACCTTCCAGAATTCTCAAAATTTTCGCCTGCGGCGCTGAGAAGGGAAGATACCCGGACTTTTTTTCGACCCGAAACCCGATCCGAAGAAAATTTTGAAAACCCGACCCGACTTTTTGCTCAACCCGAAACCCGATCCGAGAAAAATTTTGAAAACCCGACCCGACATTTTTCTCAACCCGTGACATCCCTGATAAAGAAGCAATTTTTAATTCTGGTAATTATAAGGTAGGGGAACTGTCCAAACAATATCCCTCAATTAAATATACAAGTCATGATAATGCAACCCGCGAGTCTTCCCCACAACAAAGCCCAATCTTATATAAAAATAATTTTTTAACAACCTCTTCCGCTTGTTGACGTGTCGGTCCACTATTCTTAAACATATAGGCAGAACAAATGTCCGGATATTTTTGAAGAATGTTACGAGTCCAACTAAATTTGACCGCAATTTGAAAGATCATTAGCCACGCCAATAATGCTAGAGCCCAAAACCCGCTTTTGACACAAATGTAAGTCTCTATCATTGCCTAGAAATTTTGAAAAAAAATTTTTCTGAAAAAAAAATTCAAAATAAACCGGAAATTTTTTGTCCATTTGAGCATCAAAATACTGTGAGCGTTGAACAATGCTTTTATCAGCACCCAAAAATGGAAGACAATAACACTTTAATTTGTCGTTGTACCAAAAAGTTGAACGCTTTGGTGCTCGCCAACGAGTCTTTTCCAGCTTTTCAGGCATTATAGCTTTACGAATACGTCCAAGTCCGTCGTCCTTAGCTTTCCAAATGCCGAGAATGAGTGTTTGATAAGTGCCGGCATTGAAAGAATAACCCTAAATTTGAAAGAAATGCTGGGTTTATTTGAATGGCGTGGATAGAAAAGGAATTTTTTGGGGCGAAGGAAATGTTGTGGGAAGTCAAAAAAAATTAAACTGAAATACGAGATCACTATTCGAACCAGTGATGGCCAGGATGAGAAAAAAAGGCCGAGTCTATGGGTCAGTTTAACGGAATTTGTATGGAACGGGTTTTGGCAAAACATGACTGGTTTAAAGGTAACCCGACTCATCTCTAAACTCAAAATAATTATGACACGGATTTGAGAGAAAAAAAGTCAAATCGGCAGAGATGGAGATTAAATAAAAATTAACTTAAATTTAAAAAAATAAAAAAACTAACGGATTCTCCAGTATTAATCTTTGCAAAAGTTTCAGCATAAGTCAAAGTCCCATCAAAGTTTTTCTTCAAAAATTCCATTCCCATATCACAAGGGATAGAATCCCAACCACAAGCGCTAACAATAAAAACTCCCTTCTCTTTAGCCTGTTCAGAATATTTCATCTGCATTGACTCAATCCACTAAAACGAATAAAGTGTAAAACGTAAAGATTGAGTAACAGGGCCAAGGATGGAAGGAATTCACACGAGAAACTTAACCCGTTCGTGAGAAAGTTTCCTCACTCCTCATCAGCACTAAATCAACTCTAACAACCAAAGCCCTATCCTGGCATTATTTAAAGTTTATATTGAAGGGATGCCAAATTTTGGGAATTTTGGAGGGCCATATCTTGGCCAGATCAGAAAACGGGCAAAAACGGCTCAAAATCCTTGCTAGAAAGGGCACATTCGCTATCGAATGAGCCCGGTCTCGACCGTTTTTGCAACGGACACCTCGCAACCTTCCTTGTCAGAGTTTAAAAAGCCTAAGTTAGTCATACCCTGTATACTCACTATATTGATAGACCCATCCAACTTGGCCAGTGAGTGAAGGAACTCAACGATTCCTATCCAAAACGGATAGTGTCAAAAATGCTGTCTTCCTTAACCTTTCAATTCAAAACTATGGGGGCAAACTGATCGAAATTGGAAATACCAAATCCCCTCAAAGTTTAACTAGTAAAACTCTAGACTTACCTAAACTCATAGAACCCCTAAAAATTAAGAAACAAAAAATATACAGCAGGCTCGCCAGAGATATCAACGTGGCTGGAACCATTTTCCACAGCAGCCTTAACAACAGCTTCACCATAAAGACGATACTATTTAAATATAAAAATAAGAATCAAAAAAGAGAAAATCAACAAGGGCGTAGCTAGGGAACTGAGTGGGCGCACCTTGAACTGGGGAAAATGAAAAATTTTGGAAGAATGACCGAAAAAGTGAAATTTTTCCCGCCTGCAACCCACAAAACAATCCACACCTACAAGCCTAAAAACAGACAAAAAAAATTTGCTTTCGAAATGCCAAAATTTTGACCCCCCCCCCCTCCCATTCTAACACCCCACTGAAATCTGCACCCTACAACGCCCTTGGAAATTAGGACAAAGCCGGTTAAAAGTCCTGTTAATTTTTCACTGTAGCGGGGCAAATCGAGAAGAGAGAAGGGGAAAGAGAAAAAGGACACGCTACAGGGTCAAATTAACCGGACGGGTAACCGGCTTTGTCCTACCCTACTGAAAATCTATACCGGTCCAACAACGTTGACAATAACTTTCGCTTGCTTGGCCATCTGAACGAGTTGGTCCTCATGCTCATTGTCAGCAATTATTATCGGAATTTTGGACAAATCCTTATCTTTAAAAAATTTTTGAGAAAATTTTCAAAAAATTTCAAAAAAAACCTGTCAACTTCCCGACCTTGGCCAGTGTCTCTTGCAATTTTTTGGAGCTTCTACCAGCTATAGCAATTGAAAGTTTGCCATATTCCTCGCTCTTAACAAAAGTTTCGAGCACATATTGGCCTGTAAAACCAGAGGCTCCGTAAATTAACAAGTCGTAGCGGTTTGAAGAAAACATCTTTGATGTTTAGAAGTTAAAAGAATTTTAAAGAAAATAAACTAAAAAAGAAAAGTCAATTTAAGGGTTTTAAGGAAGAAGAGGACAAAGAAAGAGGCTTTGTTCCCGTCTTCCCCGCTTCCCCTCCTCTTACCTTCTTCCTTGTTTTTGGTGCCCGATAAGTATCAACATTTTTTTTCAGTTAGGTATATTTGTGTACTAAAAATCGGATACCGAAAAGTAGAGAGCGGAACGGGATCGAGACTTCCCGGCCCGAGTCCAGGCCAGTTAATTTTCATTTCCCGTTTCCGGTTTTTCGCTCTCTAAGTATCAAAAAGTATCCCAAAGTAAAAATCAAGAATCAATAAAACTGAAGAAATCAGAAAATGGGGGAGCAAATGTCACTTTTCCTAGTGAAGTCTTGAAAAGTTGGTATTTTATTGATTTATTTTCACATAAATAGGAGAATGAGGAAGTTAGGTGTAAAAATCTCAAACTTAAATTCGGAGTTAGTTTGGATTTTCTAGAAATCAGGCCGTAAAAATCTAGAATTACTTGATCCTTTTTTGGGTAAAGGAAACGACACTCTCCCAAATTTTAAAAATTAATTTTGCCCCTAAAATTCCTTAAGAATTTCAAAATAATATAGAAAGGTTTGCACTTGACTTGGAAAATAAAACAAAAAAATAAAATGTTAAACGGAATGATTTTATAAAAATAATCGGACCATCTCCCCTTCTCTTTTAATGAAAAAAAAGAAATAAAATACACTACTTAACGTTATTTGTAAATAAGGTAAAAGAAGAAAGAACACAAGCAAGCTATCTATTTTTACCACGTCCCTTCCCTTTGTTTGTTTTTTCTAGAAAAAGAAAGTTTTCGAAACAAGCAAAAAAAAAATTTTTGAATTTAAAAATTGACGAAATTTAATTTAAGACAAAACGTCCACTTTTAAGGACAGTAGAGTCAAAGACATTTTACCAATAACACATTTTGCCAATAAGGCTAGAATCTCTCATTTTGTCAACAAGACTGTTGTCAAAATGTAGGTTTTTAGCCTTGCTGGCAAAATGTCGTATTTGCCAAATGTCGTATTTTAATACAGTCTAAAGGTTAGAATTATAGAGAAAATCGGGAAGTTTCCGGAAAAGTTTTTGTCTGCTCCGGTTTTGTCTCTCTTATGTACTAAGTAACTCTAACATTTCTCTTACTCTGTCTATCACAACAAAATCTGGAATGATCTCGTGATGAATTTACTGAAGTTTGTACTCTACTCTCCTCATTCTGGTCATACACCGAACAATAAAAGAAAATGAGAGAGCGAGTATGCGAAATAGCATGTTTAAATAAGAGAGACAAACTAATTGAGACATTTTCTGAGCTTATTCGGCTCCATATTTTGCCACTAACACATTTTGCCAATAAGGCTATAAACCCTCGTTTTGTCAACAAGACTGTTGTCAAAATGTAGGATTTTAGCCTTGTTGGCAAAATGTCGTATTGGGGAAATGTCGTTTTTCAGGAAACAACTTATTTCTTAACAAAATTAACTCCAATTTTTTCCAAATTTTCTTGATTGACTTTTAATTTATTTTTAGAAGACTTCTACTTGTTTAATTAATCAAAATGAGTCTAGCTTCTGTTTGGAACATTGCTCGAAGTTTATTTTTCTTTTTCCTTTCCAATTTTCCCCTAAAAAATTTCAGGAGACATAGCAATTCCCAGAAATGCCCCAACAGAGTTACTCAAAGAGAAGCACAAAGAATTTCTTCTAGGATATAGCCGTGACAGGGATTCTTACGAATACATAATGGCGGAATATTTAAGAATGAGTGGAATGTATTGGTGTTTGACAGCGATGGATTTGCTTGGGGCGATTGAGGAAGTTGACAAGGAGTTCATTCTTGATTATATCCAGAAAAGCAAAAGAGAAAATGGGGGCTATGCCCCAGCTGAGGGACACGATCCGCACTTGCTTCATACTTTGAGCGCAATTCAAATAGCGATAACGCTTGGAAGGCTGGACATTGTATATTTTTGTTTTTTAATTTTTCTAAGGAGTGGTTCTGGGGGTTAATTGATGTCTGGACATTTTCTGAATGGTTTGAGTTCGGATGTTGTCCCGGATCGTGGGGAATGGAACCAAGAATTTGATACCGGAGAAATTTGTTGAAATAAGTCAGCGGGTTAGCCTTCATTGCTAGGATGTGTCCAAGAGTGGCTCGTCCATTTATTCTTCGTTATGTAATAGGGTTGCATTTTTCGAACCGGGCCGACGTTCGAGTTATTTTTAGGCCCTCATTTTTCGGTCCGAACCGTTCGAATCTTTTTCGTGCCAAAATTCAATGCACCGTTCGATTTATCGAACCGATCCGACAAGTTCAACCCCATTTATTAACTCCAGCCTTTGGTAACTAATAGAGTCGTTTCTGTAATTGAATGACATCAGAACTTTTTTGAAGAAGAGTTTGGTGTCGGGTTTTTCACGGATTATGGGGAAGTGAACTAAAAATTTAAAATATCAGGGTTTATTAGAAATGTCTGTCCCTGTAAGTAAAATAACTAATTCATTAACTAAATCCATTTTCTGACACGCCCGCTTTAATACATCATCCACAACGCTAAAATTCCTTCTTTAGCCATTAAGGGCTGCCTGTGTTTCAGAATTCTCCTCCTTTACATCCAAAATCCCTCCCTTAATTCAAATTTCTTTTCTCTTTAAGATTGACAAAGACAAGACAGTTTCCTTCATTAAATCATTACAACAAGAAGATGGCAGTTTTGTGGGTGATAGTGCTGGAGAAGTCGATACTCGTTTTTCATTTTGTGCACTAGCCTCACTTCACTTTTTGGAATGTTTGGACGCTGTAAATATACCAAAAGCTATTGACTTTATCAAAAGTTGTTACAATTTTGATGGAGGTTTTGGAACTAGACCGGGCTCTGAAAGTCATTCTGGACAGGTTTTTTGGGGTTTTAGGCTTTCAATTTTTATTTTCTTTAGGTTTATTGCTGTGTTGGTGCTCTAGCTATTTGTGGATGTCTTGAATTAATTAATGTTGAACGGACAGCTGAATGGTTGGCAGAACGTCAATGTCCATCAGGAGGATTGTGTGGACGTCCAGAAAAGTTACCTGATGTTTGTTACTCTTGGTTTGTTGAATACTTTTATTACCTTTTCTAACTTTTTTGACCCTTTGGGGGTTAGGCTTTTGCAATTTTTGCTGCAAATTAATGTAAAAATTTGGGCTTCGGTAAGCAATAACCTTTCTTGCGCTGGCGTTTTTGTTGGTTGTTGAATCACACGCAAATATGATCTATAGGACCTAACATCATGTTACTTAACCATCCTTTTCTGGTACGCTTCCCGCTCTTGGATAGTGTTTTTGATTCCGAATCGTCTCGAAGAATCGCGGGCGATTGTTTGTATGCGTCCATTGAACTTCTTTATGTTCTGGACTTACGCCCACTGGGTCTAGGGCTATTCCAAAATCCAATTTTATTTTGATTGGACGCATAAACTAGACCAGCGCCGAATCGCTTTTGCTAGGATATTCTAAAATATCGTTTCCTTTGAAAAAATTTCTGCAGTGCTTCTACCAGTGCTTTGTACCTTCTCTTTGACAAACCTATAATAATTTCTAATCTATAATTTTCAAGGTGGGTCCTTTCTTCACTTGCCATTCTCAACCGGCTTCATTGGGTCGACAAAACTTCACTCGTTCGTTTTATCCTTGCTAGTCAGGATGATGAATCTGGTGGAATAGCAGATCGTCCAGAAGATATGTCTGATCCATTTCACACAGTTTTTGGTTTGGCAGGCCTCAGTTTGTTGGGATATGAAGGTTTGGAACCTGTAGATCCCGTTTTTTGTATGAAGAAAGAAAGGCTTGGTTCTTTTTCGTTTATTTGACATTAATATTTTTTGACAAATTAATAAAAGTTTTTTTTAATTTTATCATCGTTTAGCTATATTGTTTCAAAAACATTGCTATTTTTTTTGCTTTTTCTAATTTTTTTAAACTTTTACATCTTAATTTCAAAAGGTATCACGACTTTTGCGCCGAGAACATTTGCGCCGCGACTTATGCGCCGCGACTTTTGCGCCGGGGGACTTATGCGCCGCGACATTTGCGCCGCCATTGTTTAGAAAATCCGGATCCGAAAAATGCCGGATATCCGAAATTTTCAGTTCGGATATCAGATCCGAAGATTTCCAACTATTCGACAACCCTACTAAAGTGAGGTCTGGTTGTAGTTATTGATATATTTTTAATGATAGTGGCGGCGCAAAAGTCGCCCGGCGCAAAAGTCGCGGCGCAAAAGTCCCCCGGCGCAAAAGTCGCTCGGCGCATAAGTCGCGGCGCAAAAGTCACGGAACCTTTCAAAAAATGCTGGGATTTCATATTTTTGAACTCCTCGTCAAGGGCGTAGCCAGGGGGCGAGGACTTCCGGGTCTAAAGCCCCCCTCCCCGAAATGGGAAAAAGGGAAAAATTTGAGGATGGGATTGAGCAAAAAAGTGAAATTTTTTGCCTGAAACCGTCGAAATTCAAAAAATTTTCATCAATTTCCGCCCCCGGGCTACGCCCTTGCACCTCATTAGAGACCGCACTGGGAGGGTCGTATGAGATCTCGATTCTCGAAAAATCTCGAAAACACAAAGATTTGTCATAAGAGACTCCTCATTATTATTAACGTCTATTTTTAAATATTTTTTCAAAAATCTTTTTAGATAATTTTTGTTTATTCTAAATTTCTTCAAAATTAAAAAAAATGGGAAAGATTATGAAGCCTGGACGAGTTGTGATCATGCTTAATGGTCGATTTGCTGGACGCAAGGCTGTTGTGATCAAAAGTTATGATGATGGTTCTTCTGAGAGGCCTTATGGACACGGATTGGTTGCTGGGATTGACAAGTTTGTGTTTCTTTTTTTTAATTTTTTGGATCCCTCTTCTCCAGATGATTCTTAAGCAGGAGAAAGCATTAAATTAATTCTAGCGCCGTTTAGGGAACATTTAAGGGTGATTAAGCCGGAAAAGGTCTGTGAATTGAGACTAGTGAAAATGTGGCAAAACCAATAGGGTCGCGGTTTTCGAGTCGGGCCGATGTCCGAGTCATTTTTTCGGGCCAGCCTGTCAGTCATTTCAAGGCCAAAATTCAATGCCTGACTCGATCTTTCGGACCGAGCCCCCAACCCTAAAAACCAAGCTAGAGCTTTGATTGATGACTAAATCCGGTCCTTAATTTAAATAATATGCGGATACGTTTTTGGGCTCTTATTTTCGATTTTCCTATCTTTATTCTATTTGTCTCGTTTTACCCCAAGGTTAAAGTGAAGGCCAGACCTGGTCATGGATATGGATACAGATAATATAAAGATGCCTGCGGATATCCGCTGTATCCGCCGTAAATATCCGGATACCAAAATCAATATCCGTGACCGGGTCTGGTGAAGGTTAACTGATTACCTAATTTTGGCTTTTTTTGGGACTTGATATTTTTCGTTCACACAAATTAGGATTTTATTAATTCTTTTTTCCAACAGATATCCACGTAAAGTAGTCAAACGAATGGGCAAAAAACAAATTGCAAAACGCATAGCAATGCGTCCATTTGTCAAAGTTACTTCTCTTCAACATTTGCTTCCAACTCGTTGTACTTTTGAGGCTGAATTTGACAAAAGTATCGTTAACAAGGAATCAATTAAAGGTTTTTTTCCTATTTCTTCCTCAATTTCGCTTTGGTTTTCTGTCTCTATTCAGTCAGTCAATAAAGAATCAGAAATTGATTTGAAGTTGTGGGGTTGAACGGTATGGTCTTGTAATACCTAAAGCTTGAAATACCTAATATTGTAATACCTAAAAGCTTTTCCAGCTTTTTCCAAAGTTAGGTGTTTCAAGGTCTTTTGGGGCTTGGGTATTTTTCCAAAGTTAGGTATTATAAGACGTTCAGGGGAGAAGTTAGACGTTGAGGGGAGAACTTCATGTTTTAATAATTATGAAAGAATTTTGTGTTTCAAATTTCTGATTCTATTGACTGATTGATTTACTGAACTCTATTCCATGTGAAGATTGTTGGGAGGGAAGTCTTATTATCGGGAAGGAAGTTCTCATTTAGAAGAAAGTCCTTACTAAGGTTGTTGGTTCAAAAAATTCTCTTTGGGTAACCGAACAAACCCAGCTGGGAATCTTTGAGGGCTTTAGGTTCGGGTTGAGACCGACAACACTAATTCAAGTCGTTGCAACCGGAAGGACTTAAAGAGACTGGATTTTGAGGAAGGAAATAATCGGACTTAATAATCTTTAAAAATCCCCTTCAATTTTAGATCCAAAATCAAAACGTAAGGCAAAGTTGCACATCAAAAAAGAATTTGAAACGCAATATAAGGCTGGGAAGAGCAAATGGCTTTTTACTAAATTGCGTTTCTGAGGAATTTTGAAGGGGAGATGAAAAGAAATGTTAAGGAAAAAGGAGAGGTTTATATGTTGATTATTTTAATTTGTTTTCTTTTTTGGGGGTGAAGGTGTTAATGATTTTAAAAAAAATGTTAAAAATTTAATCAAAAATTTTTTATTTTTTAAATAGTCTCAAGCTATTTTGTACTTGATTTAAATTTAAAAATTGATTTTTTGATAGGGATTTATTGGCGAAGTTCCTTTTTGGGGTCTATTGTAAGATAGGTAATCTCTTGGGAAATCAAGGGCGTAGCCAAGGGGGGGGGCTTCTGGGGCTAAAGCCCCCCCCCCCCCCCCCGAAATGGGAGAAAGGGGAGAAAAATTAGGAGAAGAATTAGCAAAAAAGTGAATTTTTTTGGCCTACGGCCTTCTTAATTTTAAAAATTTTCGCCTGCGGCGCTAAAAATGGAAGAAATCTGCTTCTGAGCTCCAAAATTCAAAAAATTTTCGCCTGCGGCGCTGAAAATCACAATTTTTGGCGCCTGCGGCGCCGAAAAAGTGAATTTTTTGGCCTACGGCCTTCTAAAATTAAAAAAATTTTCGCCTGCGGCGCTGAAAAAAATAAAAATATGGTTCAAAAAAATTTGCGTCCAGAACGCCAAGGTAAACGCCAAAAATTTTGCGCACACCCAGTGTTAGCCCCCCCCCCCCCCCCCCCGAAATCGACCCTCTGGCTACGCCCTTGTGGGAAATAGGTTTGGGCTAAATTTACAGAAAAATTGAAAAATAGTTTTTGCATTCAGTGACTCTTATGTTAGTTTTTGTTTTCACTTCTGAAAATTTGAAGAACCTGAACTAGAGACCGAACTATTGAGAGTTGTACCAGAGATTTCGAAAAATCTCTGTCCACAATAACCCAGATTTTCTGGAAAGGGATAAAATTCCCTACCCTTTTCCAAGGTTTTGAGGGAAAGGATAGGGAATTGGGAAATGGTATGAGATTGGTTGTAGAGAAGGGATTGTGACATGAGTAGGATTGCCTTTTCTAATCCGAACCATTTTTGGACCTTGAATTAGAAACACTATTTTCGGGCCGTGTCTAGTAGAGATTGAGCTGGATCTGGACCAAGGCCTGGGTTTTTCTTGTATTCAGAGTCCAGGCCCATGCATTTTTTACCTTCCTGGGGGTTTTTCCTGGGCCTGGTTTTTTCCTGGACTACAGGCCAAGGATCCGGCCCAAGCCAATAACTCAAACTTGGAACCAGGAACAGGCCCATGCTTTTCAAAAATTTCGATTTCTAGTGTTTATTGTTAGTCTGAATTTTATTTTTAATTTTGGGTTCCAAATGGCAATCTCCCTAGATTTGAGATTAATTCATCTTCCATTTTTAAAACAAAAATTGTTTCAGAATTTTAATAAAATGACATATTTTGGCGAAGAAAATCTCGAATTTGCTTTAATTGAAGAAAACTCGTCGTGTGGACAAAACAGTACAAGTCAAAATGAGTTAAATAATATTGACGAGAATGAAATTGAACAAGAAAAAAATTCAATATATGATGTTGAAATGAGTGGAAGTGAGGCAAAATTGAGTGAAAATGAGGCGTTAATGGATTCTAATGAAATACAAATTGTTTGTACAAGTGAAACAAATGAGGAAGAAGAAGAAATTGTTAAAAGGTTTGGATTTTTATAGTTAGTATAAAATTGGCTTTGGGTAGGATGAAGTTAGGAAATGTCAGGATTTCATTGTAGAGATGAAATTGGGTCAGTTGATTCTCCTGACGGTGTTTCCAAGGATCTATTTTTCATGGCTCAAGGTCAAAACGTATCTCCTCAATTCTTTGATTTTTTTCCTAATTTTTAATATTTTAAGCTTCCATGTTTCCCCTAAACCCCAGATCCTGCCAAATCCTACAAAATTAATGAATCGAACACAAGACCCGGGCCTGCGATTTTCTTCCTAAATTTGTGTACTCGATCACAGAGAAGAGATGTAGTTTTAGGCCTATCATCCTTCGTACAGCCAGGGGTATGCCTTTTTTTGATGTTTCATCTTTTATGTTTTCGCTTTTTAAAAACTGTTTCCGCACACCTCCGTTGCAGTTCTATGACTGGGAATTCATTAGTTGAACTTTATGGATATTTTTTATCTATTTTTATCTTTCTTATCTATTTTTTCAAAAATAATTTTCTTTTAAGTTATGAACTCCCCATTACAGAAGACTTGTTTGAACAGTGCAACACTTCAATACTTCCCTACAAAAGAAAAATACACCCATTGGGGCCTCTCTCCTCTGAACTATTAAAACGAGTCCGTGAACGTGCTTCAATCTCAAATATATCCAAATTTAATTCGGCCTTCCATAGGCCTTGTGGATCTTCGGAAAATGAAAAAAGCAAGGAAAACCAAAGGAATGATTCTAAGGAAATTGTTGAGTGGGGAGTAAACTCAGCTTTATTAGAATCTTTTCTAGCAGAAAATTAATTGTAATTTTATTTTAAAATAATTTTTGAGTGAATTATTTATTGAAATTTACTTTTAGTTCAAAATAGAAATTGTTTCCCCCTCAGAGGGTTCGAACCTTTAAGAGGAAAAAAGGGAACGTTTCCGACTTAGCCACGCTGACATTTAATTTCTCCGAGGGAGATTTTGTTGCTAGAGTGAGGCGAGGGTGGATATTGGACTCAAAAAAGAGTTCCGGAATTTGAGAAACGGGAATTTTAGGGACTCCTGGATTAATCCCGCGGCGCTCCGACACGGGCACAGTGATCCATTTGCACAGTAAGACAATTGCACATTGGGCATCTGCACAGTGGACAATTGCACAGTAATTTGTGGTTAAGTGCATTTGTGTTAGACTTTCTGATAAGTTTTTTAATAATAAAATGGTTTTTCTTAAACAAAAACAATTTTCCCTGTTCTATAAGCAATTTTTCCCGTTGTTGGAAAAGTTGTTCGCGGGAGACGAAAACTCGCAGAGATATAGGCTCCCGAAAATCGAAAAACAATATAGTAAACCAAGCGGTTTTTTGGGGTAAAAAATTCGAAGATGCAAATTATAGCTCATTCGAAAGAGCTTTTTGAGTTGAGTCGGCTGACACCAAAATCATCTTGATTGGATGATTCTGAACGAAGTTATGACCTATAGGTGAATGAGCCTTGCATTTATTTGGAGTGTTTCGCGACTAAACAGGCGTTTTGCGAATAAATGGGTAGGTCGTTTTGCGAATAAACAAGACTTTACTGTGCAATTGTCCACTGTGTAATTGTCCTCTGTGCAAAAGTCTTACTGTGCAAATGGATCACTGTGCCCAAGTCGTGTCACCTAATCCCGCAGGTTCCCTCCCGTTCGATTTCTAAAGCTCAACCCGTTCGGTAACCCGGGAAGGCATTTTACCGACCTCTATTTGTTGTAGAGGTCGGAAAATCGTATTCACGGGATCCCGCACGCGGGAGAAACTTCTAAAAACGTCTGCGGGACGGGATCCCGCGGGAATAATCCCGCAAATCGAAAAAATAATTCCCCGCATCTCTAATTTGTTACCACTTTTTTTGTTACCAAAATGATTTTCTTCTTTCCAATTTTCTATCAAAATCTCAAATGTAAAAATGTCCAGAAGCCAAAAATGACATTTTGTCGAATTAAAATTTTTAATTTTTTGTATTTTGTTTTATTCTTGTTACATTTTTTCAATTGAAATTTTTTTTTTGATTTTTTTCTTTATTATATTTAAAATTAATTTCAATTTTCAGTAGTGGTTGTTTTAAAAAAGCTTTTATATTTCAAATAAATAATGGGCCGTGTTCGTACCAAAACTGTCAAGAAAGCTTCTCGTGTTATTATTGAAAAATACTATACACGCTTGACTTATGATTTTCATGTGAACAAACGAATTTGTGAGGAAATTGCTGTTATTCCAAGCAAACGGATGCGTAATCAAATTGCTGGGTATTTTTTTTTGTTTTTTTTTTAATTTTGAGGGGGAGGGGGGGGGTTTATAGAAATGTGTTGCTGGAGGGAAGGGCATGACAACTTTTTTTTCTGAGGCGAGGGAAATTTGAATTTTGGGAGGCCTAGTTTAATTGCCTTTGATTCTGTGCCAACTAAACTAAAATTGGGGAGAAGTGTTAGTGATGGAGCCGAAAAAGGATAGAAATGAAAATGGGGGCTCCTTAAATGTTTAAAATTTTCTGGAGTCTTTTAGGTTTTGTTCATGACCGGTTAATTGTTACTTGGTGCTGCGAGTCCACGGTACCGCAGAATAATTTGTTCAAAATTGTCAAATCCGGGACGCCTTGATATGGTTCGATTTAGCTCTTCGCGGGGCATTGAACCATACCAGGGCGTCCCGGATTCGACAATTTTGAATAAAGTTATAGCTCGCCTGTACCTTGGGGTGTACCCGTTTCTAGAAAAATATTTACTTCTTGTCCTCAATTCCTCTCAAATACCTGCCCCATAAGTATTTTCTAGAACGAAAAAAACAACAAAATTTAAGTGTCCAGTTATATGGTTTTTTAAATTTTTTTCTTCAGTTTTATCACCCATTTGATGAAACGTATCGAAAAGGGACCTGTCCGTGGAATTTCTATTAAATTGCAAGAAGAAGAGCGTGAACGTCGTGATAATTGGGTTCCAGAAGTTTCCTATCTTGATGCTTCTCAACATCCAACTATTAGTGTTGATCAAGAGACTAAGGAAATGGTTGATTATTTGGTTAGTTTTTTTTGGTTGTTTTATTTGATAGGCCAGTTGAGGGGAGGTTAAAATTTTTTCGTAAATTCCTATCAGTCCTTTAGTTTTTTTGGGGGGAATTCTCAATCTCTAAATATGCAAGAAGGTGGAAAGCTATTTTTGTTACTTTTTTGCTCGTTGCTTTAATAAATGGTCATGTCCTGTTGTTCTACTTTGAGTCCTCCAAGAGTGAAAATTTTCGATAATTATCACCAAGACTTGAACTAAAAGTCTATGACATTTATAGTTGTTATCCTCTTCAATTGAATGGCAATGGGGGAGGGGAGGGGGGAGTTGGGAGGGATGTCCACTCCTTATATGTCTCAAGATTATATAGGCTCCTTGATTGTTTTATGGCTTTAAACTAGGTTTGCCCACTACTGATTATTAACCGGTACCCTCTCCAAGGTTTTCGCTGTCATTGCTGATTTTCGGTTCGGTTAACCAACCGTGAACAACCCTGTTTTAAACTTTTGTAAGGAGTAATTCATTAAAAAAATTTAATTTTTTAAGCAACTCAATTTGCCTGTTGACGTGAAGGGACAGCAACAGCAAGGTCAAGCGCAAGGTGGTGGTGGTCAACAACAGCAGCAACAACCTGCTGGTGCTGCTCGTCAATAAATGAATTTTTTTGAGGATTTAAGAAGTAAATGAGGGAAGTATTGCTGTTGAAATCTTGGAAAAATATTAAAAATTAATTAAAAAGTATATTTTTCTGTTGTTAAAAATAAATGTTGTTGACGAAAAAAAATTTTTTTAATTGAATATTTAATTAATATTTATACGTAGTACCTATTTTTATTTGAAAAAACATTTTTTTCTCATTTACCCACCTTTAATTTGGTTAATGGAAAAATTGAAATAAGGGGACAGATTTTAGTATACCTCAAAATCTTGTTTTAAGATTTCCCAAGGAAAAAATTTTTTAATGACCTAGTGACTAGAGAGCGAGCTTGGCCTGGACCAAGGCCTGGATTTTTCTTGTACCCAGAGTCCAGGCCCAGGCATTTTTTGACCTGCCGTTGTTTTTCCTCGGTCTGGTTATTTCCTGGACTACAGGCTCAGGATCCGGCCCAGGTCAATAAATCAAACCTGGAACAGGTCCAGGCTTTTCAAAAGTCTCGATCTCTACTAGTAGCCAACCTAATAAAAAATTAGGTTGACCAGTGTATGGGAAAGGTTGTCTAACGATAAATGGTACCCTTCGATCTAAGCTACACCTTGTCATAAGATAAGTCTCTTATATTGAATTATCTTAAAAAGAGGTTCGACTAATAAACAAGATTTTTGTTTTAGTCCGCAAATTTTGTCCGCAAAAATTAATTTTTTTCTAAAAAGCGTTTTTAGATGCTCAAATATTTATTAAAAAATAATTATCGTCGGTCAAAAACTTTACATATTTGTCATTCTTATTTTTCAATTCAAAATGTGAATAGAACAATTACAAGGTTTTTTAATTAAAATTAATTTTTAAAAATATTTTTTAATAGAACTTTAAAATCGGTGGCTTCCAAGCCTTTACAAATTGTCAATTTTTGTGTATTGCGGTGTTACAGATGGTTTTTAAGGATGCGAGTATTGGTAAATATATATTTTATTTTGTAATTGGAGGTTTCCAATTTTGGAGGACCCGGTATTATGCTTATGTTAATGTTACCTTTTTGGTCTATTCCAGGGATGTAACGGGGTGAAAAAATGTTGGTTTTTGGATTAGGGGTTTCGGACCAATACGCCAATGAAAGTCCAATGTACAATAAAAAATGCCAGTAGCAAATTGGGTACTTGTAAGGCAGGTCGATTTCGGAGGGCGGCTAGCATGGGGTCTGCGCCATAATTTTGGCGTTTACTTAGGTGTTCCGAACTCAAAATTTTTTGTACATTTATCTTTTTACATTTATTTTTACATTTATCTTTGAGAATTTGGACGGTCATAGTCAAAAAAAAATTTATGATTGGCGATCATCATTCTACCAATTTTTCCCCTTTCCCCCATTTCAGGGGGGATTTTCAGTTCCTCTAGCTACGACCTTGCAATATACTAAAAAAGTTTATTTTTTTATCTTCCAGTATGGACACTTTTCATTTTTCGATCAAGATGTAGTCAACTTCTTCTATCACAAAGACAAAGTTAACCCAAAAGAATGGTGTATTGCCTACAATTCTCCATTATCAAATTTATTTTCAAATTGTTTCCGCTTCATATTTTGCTTTATTATTGTGGTTACTACACACATGTTTTTTGATTATAAAAAGAATGGAAAATTTACTGATGAATTTAGTGTTAAATTACATCGAGATATGCTTCTAGTAAGGTTTTTTATGTTAAAATTTGAAATATTTAGGGGGTTGGGGTTCAAAAAAATTTTTTAGGGGTTTGAAATTTTTTCTAGGGGTTTAAAAATTTTTTATTTTGTATATTTACCATTTAAAAGCTTTAATAATCTTTTTAAAAATTAAAAACCCACAAGGGGTTCGAACCTTGGTCCCCAAATCTATCGAGTATCCCACTTAACCACAGACTAAAATTTTTTTGTTTTGTTTGGAATCAAAAACTTCCCTTGGAACCTTTAATTATTTTTAAAAAATAAAAACCCGGGAAGGGTTCGAACCTTGACCCCTTAATCTAACGCGTATCCCACTTAACCACAGAGTAAATTTTTTTTGTCATGTTTGGAATCAAAAACTACGGCATTTTTTAATTTTTTAAAATTTCAAAAAAAAATTTTCAGCTTGGCATATTTGGCTATTTTATTGTCTTTGCAACTTTCCTCTCTCTCTTAATTTTGCTCAAATTGAATTCTTTAAATATTTCGAGAATATATTTGAACAGAAATGATCCAAACAAATTACTTTTGAGGGCTAATCGATTCATTTTGCTCAGGCCGTTGGTATAATTTTTTTTATTAAATTGGTACTTTGTTCATATCCCACCCCTGTTAGAGCCTCAGATTAATTTTTCTTTTTTTACTGTCAATCATTAATTCCCCTCAAACATTTAAGTAAAAGGCAGATTTACCAAGAAGAAAAAAATAGACGGCAACAGCATAAATCAACATAGAAGGAAAGTTGACCATTTCGTTGAAAACAAAACGAATAAGAATAAAAGAGAAAAAGTAATTTAAAACTCTCAAATAGGGGTTGGGGTATATGAACAAAGTATATACCTTTATGTTTTAATTAGGGTTGCCGTTTTCGATTCAAGCCGACGGTAGAGGCATTTTTTCGAGCTTGTTTTTATCGAGACGGGCCGGTACGAGTCTTTCTCGGGCCAAACATCTAGGCCCGACTCGTTCTTTCGGTCCGAGTCGGTCCATTTTGGCAACCCTAGTTTTAATATTTAAATTTATTTTCTGATTTCAAGTTCATTTTTTGATTTTTTTAAGCAGAAAATTTGTAGGGTAAAAATAAACCTGGATTATTATTTAAATAAACTTTATTTTCTTTTTTTTTATTTTTTCAGACACATTTAAACAGAAAAGACGTTCACCTTCGTTATAATTTTGATGATAATCGTATAGTCGAACTTTTGAGAATTTTTCTTCACGGCTCTGCAAAATTTGGGCATTTGGGGAATTATGGATTAGTGGATGATGGGTTTAGAAATAATTTATTTAGATCTTTTGTTTTGAATGAAACTGATAATATTCCGAGAATGTTGGATAAATTAGATTTGGTGGAAAGTAATAATAAATTAGAAAATAAAAAGAATATTGGAGGGAAATAATTTTGTTGTTGGGAGGGAGGAAAAATACCCCAAAAATTAATCTTTCAATTTCTAAGTTTATAAAAAATGTTTTTAATTTTTGGGATGGTTTATATATTAATTTGTAATTTGGTGGGGGGAAATAAGAGGTGGAAAAATGATTTTTTTGAAAGAGAGAAATCTCATTTCATGCCTTAAAAATAAATAAATTTTCAATTTTTAAGGTTAAAAAATTTTTTTTCTTAATTTTTGGGGTGGATATTGAGAACCTTTCTAGATTTGTAAGAATTATCAGTTAATTAGTTTATTTTTTTAATTACCCTTCCTTTAATGTTAGAGACTCGAATTTTATTTTTTCACCCCTAAATATGTCTTGAAATGAGGTCATTAAAATTTTTTAAATTAATTTCCCCCATTTTCTCTCTATTTTCTAATTGTTTATACAATTTATAGGTTAAATTTTGTTTTTATTTTGTTTTAATTTTTTTTTTGTTTAAAAAATTTATTTTTTTTATTTTTTACAGAAATTATTTGGCTATTTTAATGCCTATTATATACTTTTTTAATTTATTTTTACCTTATTTTTAATTAAACTTTAATTGACAAGTCCAAAAGATCACCAGAATACCTATATTTAATAAACTTGCAGTATAAATCAGAATTTTTATAATTCCGCCTGCTAACTAAAAAATACAAATCAGAATATTAAACTTGAATTATTTTTAAATTCTGATTGCAAGTTTATTTTTTATTTAAAAATTCTGATTTCATATTTTTCCCTAATTAATGTACTATTTCTCTAATTTCAAGTTTATTTTCTGATTTTAAGTTTAAGTTATTCTGATTTCAAGTTTATTATATTCTATTCTTATAATTCTGGTTTCAAGTTTATTTTATAATAAATTCCAAGTTTATTTAAATAATTCTGTTTTAAGTTAATTTTTTACCTAAAAATTCTGATTTTATATTTCTCTTTAATTTATGTACTATTTCTCTAATTTCAAGTTTATTATATTCTATTCTTATAATTCTGGTTTCAAGTTTATTTTAATTATTCTGGTGATCTTTTGGGTGTCTTTTTAAAGTTTATTTTCTCCCCCATTGTTTTCACACTTCCGCAATTAGAAAAATGCAAGTTTTTATGCAAAAAATTGCTCAACCAACCGGAATTAAAAGCGCATTTTTTCATCTTTTTCTTATAAATTCTGAGAGAGTGACTAAATATAATTTATTGATTTTTTAGTTTGTGTAGATATTTTTCTTCGTTAATTTGCCCTATTTTTTGCGCGTTTTTGACACATTTTTTAATAAAATTTTTTTTAATTTTTAAAGGCAAATGGGAAAAATCTTGACTAAACTTTTTGGAAAGAGAGAATTACGGGTATTGATGCTTGGATTGGATGCGGCAGGGAAAACAAGTTTGGATTTTTTTGTAATTTAAAAGGGGTTTTTAAGAGGAACATCGAAGTAGGCGCGCGACCATAACGGCGCAAAGCCATAACTTGCTGGAAAATTTTTGACCCTTATTAATTTTGGTACCAATCCCTTTAGCTCGATGAGAGGAATCGTTCGATACTAAATTTAGTAAGATTCGGAAATAATGAAGCAAGTTATGGCTTGGCGCCGTTATGGCTGCATGCCTACTTGGGCTGTACCTGCTTTTTGAAGTCCATGGGAGGTGGGTGGGGACTTGTAATGATTTGGAGATATTTTTGGTTTTGTAGGGTTTCCTGGGGGTTTAGGAAATTTTTGGACGGAATAAGCTTGACTTTGAATGCTAATGTAAATCTAGGGCTTTAGGTAGTTGATAGATTTTATACAAACGAGAGCCTTTAAATTACGTTAGATGACTGGGCACTATCTGAAAGGAGGTGCGGGATCATATTTTTTCCTCCTTCCTTACACTAGTCAGTCTACATTTCATTTTTCCTTAATATGAAAAAATGGTCAGTCTTTACCTCACCCTTAATTTTCCCTGTCGCATATTCATGTGAGAGACATTAATAAGAAAAGGATTATTTTTTTCTCAATGCCATAGTCAGGACGAACAGACAGAAGATGAAATACAAAACAAATTGTAAAAGTCACCGTCTTACCAAATCACGGACCAGATCTTCGGTCAGTTTTTGGCCATTCCGTGTCATGGTCTTTCTGATATTTGGTCGTTCCTTGATTTTGTAAGACGGTGTTTTCTGTTTTGTGTTTCGGTATAGTCCGTGTCTTGTCTTTTCTTAAATTAGCCTGACACGATTCAAAAATGATAAAAGATGACCTTTTTTATTTGAATATGCCATAAGGAGTTTGGGTAAAATAAGGAAGGAAGAAAGGCTGACCATTTTTTCATACATATTAAGGAAAAATGAAAGGTAGACTAACTAGTGTAAGGAAAGAGGAAAAAATATGATCCCGCACCTCCTTTCAGATAGAGCCGATGACTGAGTGAGGGGAGATGGGATACAAGTTTGGATTTTTTATAATTTAAGAGGGGTTCTGAAGTTCATGGGAGTTGGGTGGAAACTTGTAATGATTTTGGGACTGGTTTTGGTTTTGTGGGGTTTACAGGAGGGTTTTAGGGATTTTTGGTCTGACCAAACGGGGCTCCGAGTGACTAATGTTGGTTGAGGTTTTTAAAAATCAATATTTTCAGGTATTCTGTATAAATTGAAACTTGGCCAATCAATTAAATCACTTCCAACGGTCGGCTTTAATGTGGAGACTGTCACTTATAAAAATATTAAATTCAGTGTGTGGGTATGTGGTTTTTAAGTATATTTTTATTTTTTAAATTATTTAAAGGATGTTGGAGGTCAAGAGAAAATAAGGCCACTTTGGAGGCATTACTATGTTGGCACGCAAGCTTTAATATTTGTTGTAGATTCTGCTGATGTTGACAGGTTTTTTTTGAATCTTGGGATTATTTCTATTTTCCCCCATTCATTTTTAATTGTGGGCAGTAGGAATTGAGCTGTGCTGGGGCCTGTGTCTTGATTTTTTATGTACCCAAAAAGAACCGTGTTTCGTGTTTCCCCATGTTTTCCTGAACTTTAGGCCCAGAATCCGGTCCAGTTCAACGACCGAATCCTAAGTTACAGTCCTGGGTACTTAAGGTCCTGGTCTGAAGTAAAATAGGGAAAATAGAAGGAAGGGAAGGGGGGATTCCTATGCTTCATATAATATGAACATATCTAATTTTCAAATTAAGGATTGATGAAGCTAGGCATGAATTGCACAAAATTGTGAATGACCGTGAAATGCGGGAAGCAGCGATTTTGATATTTGCGAATAAACAGGACTTGCCTGGTGGTTGGTATTTTTATTTTTTAATTTAATTTTAGAAGAGTGGGGGGAGGTTAGATTATAAAGGGTTAAATGAGGGACTAATATGAAATCTTTATGACTATTCCCGCTCATATGTCCCTCATTTGACCCTTGTTTAGAAATTCCTTATTTCCTTATCCCTTTCGGGTTCTCTTGTTTTACAAAAATTGGAAAAATGAAAAGTTATAATTGAGTACTTTTAAGATTAGCAGAAGTGACTGTCGTTAAAGGTTTATAAAATTATAAAGAATAGAGGGGAAGGGGGTCTAGCTTTGATTAGCATTTTACGGCATAATCTGACGCAATCCATAACATATCAAAAGATTGACATTAGATCCTACTTCCATCTGTTTCCTTTATGAAATAATTTTCATAAGAATTTAAACATCTACGACAAACTCACCCTAAACTATATTTTATTAAAAAGGTGACATTAGGTCCCACGTTTATTTTATTTCCTTTATGAGGGAATCTTATTTAAAAATTCATTAAAATTAAAATATATAAATTTCAGCTTTACAACCAACCGAATTACAAGAAAGGTTAGGTTTAGGAAGACTTCATTCTCGTAATTGGTATGTCCAACCTTCCTGTGCAATTGGTGGAAGTGGTCTTTTTGAAGGATTAACTTGGCTAGCATCAAATTGTAAATGACTACTTAACAACGTCAATAAAATTTTTAAAAAATTTATTTTTTTCTTTTTAAAAAATTCAAAAAAGCATTTGAGATTAAAAATTTTTAAGCAACTGTGAATGAAAATACTTTTTGTGGTGGAATATGTCCTTGCTGAAAAAAAATTAATTTTTTTTGAGGGAGAGAATAGAGGAGGTTTGTTTGATTTTTTTTGTGATTTTTATTTAAAAAATATCTTTAAAATAAATTAAATTTTTGGCTCATTTTTAATTGAAAAGGAAAATCATTTATATATTCAAGTCAAGTGTTTAATATTATTTCAAGTGACCGGATCGATACGATATATCGATGTCGATATTATCGAACGATAAATTTTTCAATTTTTTTGATATTTATCGATAATCGATATTTTTCGATATCGATACCGATATTATCGAACGATCGCTCAAGTCCGGTCACTAATTATTCCCGCTCCCTTTTTTGGAATTAAAACAAATTTAAAATTTATTAGAGTTTTATAATTATGATTGCCAAAATGGGCCGACTCGGACCTAAAAGATCGTCAGGCCTAAAATATTTTCCAGAAAAAAATAACTTGACCGTCGGCCCGACTCGAAAAGGGCCAACTTCATTTATAATATTTAATGTTTCCTTGTGAGGATTGAAATTTTGTAACTTAAAAAAATTTCAGAAACAAAAAAAATTTTTTTTGAAACTCTAATAAATAAATTTAATAAACAAAATTTATATATGCTATTTATTTCACTTGTTTTTTTTTGTTTTAATTGAATAAAAAAATTTTTTTTAACACTGAAAACTGTTTTTAAGCGAAGGGAAAAAATTTTATTTGAAAGTTTTTCAGTGTTAAAAAAATTTTTTTCTCAAAAAATATATACAAATTAAAAATAAAATTGCCTAAAATAAATTTATTTGTCTACTCTAAAAATACTATATTAAATTTTTGTTGTGTTTTTCTAAATTTTTTTTTCTTTTAAATTTTTTTGTGCCCTTCAACAAAAAAGAATATTTTTTTTTTAATTTTTTCTTTAAATTTAGCAAAATTAATTTTTTTTTGAATATTTAATTTAAAAAAAAATTAATTTTTAATTTAATTTCCCCACAATTTAACTTAAAGAAAACATATCCCTTTATGATTCGATGAATAAATGAATAAAAAAAATTTTTTTTATGCTTTAAATTTTTTTTTAAAATTTTTATTTGTTAATTAACAAATTTATTATTTTATTTTTTTTTAATTTATTAAAAAAAATTTTTTTTTAGAATTTTAAGATAATTAGTTTTTTGCTTCATTCAAAGTTTTGAGAGATTGTTCTACCTTCTGGTATATACGTGGGTTTTATTTTTAATTAAAACTTTAAAATTAAACTGAAAATGCTTCTTGAAGCAAGAGAGTAAGTGCTTCTAATTTTTAATCAGGCTGAATTTAAAGTTTAAAACTTTAAATTTTTAATTCTGATTTTTAAATCAGGCGGAATTATTTTCAGTTGAAGCAGGCGGAATTAAACAAAATTCTGATTTAAAAATCAGAATTTTGCTTAAAGCAAGCGGAATTAAATATAAAAATTCTGATTTATATTTAAAAATCAGAATTTTTTGCTTAAAGTTAGGCGGAATTTTTTTATAAAACAGGCGGAATTAAATATAATTCTGATTTGTATAGAAAATCAGAATTTTTTTTTGCTTAAAGTTAGACGGAATTTATTAACGGAATTTCTTAGGGGAATTTGGTAGATTTATTAACAACTAAAAAAAATAATTTTTAATCCAGCACTTCTTCAGGTCACAAAAATTTATTCTACAAAAATTCTTATTTTAATTCTTATATTTTCTAATTAATTTTTAAAAAATTCTCCACAAATGATAATAATTAATTGTCAACATTATTATTATTTTAATTTTTCTGCACTCTATTCAAAAAAATTATTTTTTGGCTTATATTTACGCCGAAAAATTAAAAAAATTTTATTTATTAATTTTTAAATTGGAAAAAATAATTTTTTTTCTGCACTAAATAATTCAAAAAAGGCTTCTTAATTCCAATTAAATTTAAAAAAATGCAGCAAAAAATTATCAAAATAAAATACACAAAATTAGGTCATTATGGGACATCATTCAAGAGATCGTTCATCTTCTTCCGATTCTTCTAGAAATGAAAGTGTTGAAAGAAAAAGTAGGGGAGCTGAAAAGGATTCGAGAATTTCACGTTCTTATCGTTCTCCTCCTCCAAGGTTTTTTATTTTCCTTTTTTATATTAAAAGGTAGGGGATTTTGGGCAAAATTTCCTATTAATTGGCCCCCATGAAAATTGGAAAATGAAAAATTTTCGGGCAAATGGACTTAAAAATTTGAAGTTTTTTCTGCTTGAGATGTCCTAAATTCTAAAAAGATGAAGTTTTGGTTCCTTGGACATTTGAAATTTAATACCAAAAGAATTTTAGACCCTATCCCAAAAGAAGGGCGGAATCGTTTTTTATTACCTGAAAGGAAAAGAAAAATGGAGACGAACGGACTCGGACAAACCAAACACGGTCGAACTCGGGTCAGACAGAACACGGACGGACAGGCATATTTGGTCTGACCCGAGTCTGTCCGTGTTTTGTATGTCCGAGTCCGTTCGTCTCCATTTTCCTTTCCATTTTTCCTTTCAGGTAATGGAAAAAACGATTCCGCCCTTCTTTTGGGATAGGGCTGAATTTTATATTTTCCCCCTTGTAAGTTCTCTGGATAGGCCCTTAGAAATATTGTTGGAAAATTTTTCAAAAATTTTTTTTTAATTTTCAGAAGTGGACATAAAAGCCGTGGATCACCAAAAACAACTTCGAGTAGTTGTCTCTCTGCTTTTTACAAGGAACGCTTTGGATCCCACTCACCGGAAGATTATTTAAATTTGCGAATTTCTCAATTTGACCCAAAACACGATAAAGATGATATTCGCTATTTACTTGAAAAAGAGTTTCGACATTTGGCACCTTTTGAGGTTTTTCTTGATTTTAATATTTTTTTTAAATTTTTTATTCTATTTTTTATTTTGGGCTTAGTTTCCCTGTTTTTTTAATTTTTTAATCAGAAAATTTTTTGACAAGAATTTTGAAATTTTACAAAATCTGAAAATTTCGAAATTAAAAAAATTTTTTGGTCGATTTTTTAATTTCGGGTTGGCCTCCATATCTCAAATATTTTTAACAAAATTTTTTGGTAGAAAATTTCAACTTTTACAATTTACCTAAAAAACCTATTTTTCTTTAATTTTTAGATAAAAATAGTTCGAAACCCGGAGGATGATGAACGTATGGCTTATGTTAATTTTGAACGTCCTGATTGTGCAAAAAGTGTTCGACGTTCTTTATTGCCTCGTTTAAATAAAGTTCTTGGTCGAAATATTGCAATTGACCCTGCTGGAGTTATTCGAGACCAAGAAGGTTTTTTTAAACTTTTTTAAAGAAAATTCAGTGTAGGCGTGGGTTAAGATATCCTCATAAATTACATTCGAACTTCCATTTAATGTAAGACTCGATGCCTGTCGGCAGTTGGTCAAGTCTGCTTTCCTTGTATAACAGGATGTCATTGGTTGAGAGTAAAGTTGGATTTTAGGGTCGAAATAAGTTCTGTGTTTTTGATAACCGGTGACATCCCTGGCGGGGAGGTAATCGTGTCTAACTTTATTTGTAAAGTCCGAGGCATTCCAAGTACTAGAACTCATCAATATTCTTTCACATGTAAATGCCTTTAATGTCTTTATAACTACACCAAAAATTTTCTTAAATTGTATTTTAATTTTTAAAGGCAAATTTGTTCCTGATCGTTATAATCGTGCTGTGTTGGCCTCTGATTCGTCTGCACCAATTCAACGTCCAATACGTCGTTTATCGCCTCCAACTCACCACCATCATTACACAAATAATCTTCAACAGCGTCGGACAATACCAAAACGTACTGAGATGCCGGTGTTTCGTGAGTTATATCACGGATTTTGTTTTGTGTTTTTTATTTATTAATTAATTACTCTAGAAATTGGGTGGGTGCCGTGTCTAGTCGTTTTCGGCTTCGGGACCTAAAAGGCAAAAATTGGCGATAGATTATCGACTATGTTCTATCCAATGGTATCAAAATAAAAATACGAAATTAATTATTTCTTTCGGAATATTAATTTTTTGACGAGGATTACCCGTATTAACCCTTTTCTATCCTTTTAAGGGGTACACCACAACCTACCGCGAGCCCAACCTACCACCGAGGCTATAACTTCGTTCAAAATTGTCGTATCTAACAATAAGACAACTTGGTATGGTTGGATTCAGCTCGTCGAGGCGTATCGAAACTTACCAAGACTTCTTGGATTCAACAATTCTGAAAGAAGTTATAGTCTCGGCGTTAGGTTGGCCTGTTCTCCCGTTTAAGTAAGGAAAAAAATGATTTTTAGAGAAGCTTTGTTAACCCTTAAATTTTTACTGCGGTTAAAAAGCTTGTATTTATTAATGAATGCTTAAGAATCTCCTCAATATTCAAAATTTTCCATTTTTTAATTAAAAATTTATTTTTTAAAGATTTAAACCAAGACGATACCCAAGCTAGCCGTACACTTTTTGTTGGTAATTTGCCTGGAAATATACGAGATTCTGAATTGCGCCGTATATTTGATTGTTATGGAACTATTGACGATGTTGATATTAAAACTTTGGCAGATTCTAATGCTGCTTATGCTTTTTTACAATTTGAGGTTCTTTTTAATTTTCTTTTAAAATTTTTAAATTTAAAAATTATTTAGACAGTAGAAGGCTCTATAGCTGCTCGACAAGGACAACATGGAAAACCTATTCGTCCTGGGGGTAATCGCTGTCAAGTTGGTAAGTGGTTTTTGGAAAAATAAGATTTTTTAAGAATTTGTTCTACTAGCAAACCTTACTATAAGACATACTCACAATAGGGTCGGACTTGTCTATAAGATACTCACAAAATAGGATGCACCTCTTTTAAGAGACGTTTTTTGTGTTTGGTTGGT